CTACGGTGCCCCCTATGACTCCCTCCCTTGGCTACGCTGCGTTGTTTAGCGATTTGTAACTATTCCACCACTTTTCATAATTTTCTACAGTTTGTTTAGAAATCTTTAGATAAACTTGGTTGTGCTTTTCACATCCCATTTCTTCTAAGCATTTTTTGATTAAATAAAAAATGCTTATCATTCTCTTACGACAAAATTGCTTGTTTAGTTTTGTGATGGTGTCTTGGTCTATTTCCATAAGTCTATTAAATAAACAGTATTCTTCCTCATCAGTCAAGGATACCCTCTTAGAAATAGTTTTAACTATTTTTCATAATGATATTTTCTCTGATATATACTCTTCCTACGATAATGAAATCGATCGTACTCTTTCAAGTCAAAATACCCAAGAGCATGGCCATTTGATGATCCACAGGAGTCACACTTATAGTAACCGAATTCAACAAAGAAACAATCACTTTGGCAATTCCAACATCTAAAGTGGTTATCCTCTTGATTTGTAAAGAGCACTTGTCGCTTAGTGTAACTATTTAATATTTCTAGATATCGTTCTATTTGCTCTTCTGTGTAGCACATTTTGTTATTAACTTATATAACTCTTCCCTTTTACTACCAGAAATACAAATATTTACTATCGTAAAATTTATTTGTATTTCTTTTGTTTTATTCTTACAACCGCATTTACTCGAATTCTCCTTTGAAGTTAATAACTGTGCATTATCAATACGATTATTTTTCTTATTATTATCTATGTGGTCAACCACTTTATCTTTTGGTATATTTCCACCAATGCACTCGTAAACATACCTATGAACCAGATAATATTTTCTTTGTGGTTTTTTATAAAGAATACAATACAAATAACCCTCTTTATGTTTACCCAATTTCAGTAACTTATTTCTCTTGATGCTATAAATTTCTCCTTTTTTACTTGCGTAATAACTATCATAAATAGGATGAGGATAAAATTTAGTTTCATTAAAGAGAATATAACCCATCTTTATTTAATGAAACTTTATCTTAAAGCTAATGTATTTACTTTGTCTTCCATTACAATGCGTTTATCATCATTTGCACTCAAAGCAATTTTATTTACTTCCTTTAAGTAAATATCATGATTCTCACTTTTAATAATTTTCATTGTTTTCATCTGTTTTTCACCAGAAAATAAACATTTAAGAGCGGCTTTCCGTAATTATCGACCCACGGTTGGCACAAGTTCAAAATTTGATTTCTCTCATATTTGGCTCATCGATAACCCTTAATGAGTAATGAAACATGCTGTAGTTAGTTTTCCCAAATAACGTGTTCTTTTGTTAAAATTCGAGAAAACGCATTTTGCCCGTTCGGAGCTCAAAATCCACTTCCGGTAAAACGAAATTTTACACAAAATTCCATTGGCTCGTAGGTCAAACCACAACGATTTGGCAGCCTTTGAAAAACACCAATAGTTTTTAAGACCCTTTCTTTCTTATAAGTCGATAAATTTGTGAAAGCTGTAATAATTTTGTGGCCAAAAAGGTACTGTTAAAAATAGGCCCTATTGACAATTTCTGCCGTTCAAAATTATAGGGATAAAATAATGCAAATTTTTACAATGCGCTATAACTTAAAATTTCGCAAATTGACTTTCTACCGCTTAACTAGGCCACAATCTATCAGAAAATAGAAACAAATCTCTGGGCAAACGATTTTAAGTAGCCCGCAAGACGTTGAGTTCAACCCTAATTTTGCTTAAAAACGCGACATTCAAGTGGTTAAAAATAGCGTTACACGGCCCGTCACGCCAGTGTTACCGATAGATACGCTTTAAACAACTTACTTAAAGGCAGATTAAAAGCGAATTCGAAATGAAATCTCTCATTAAACCTATTATTCTCATTGATTGCAGCATTTTCGTCAGATACAACATATAGGGTCCCAGGGATAGCGTCACACACCTTCAAGTTCAGTTTCAGACTGGCGATTTCCCTCAAAAAATTGTATATAAACAGAACAAAATCTAAAAACTAAAACTGATTACTGAATGAATTTTTGCATTGAGAGATGTTTACGAATTAAATCATCGCCAATCAATACCATTTGGTTTATAAAAACTAATTTCCTTGAAGCAATTAAATATTTTAAACTAGGTATTGGTGCAACAGTTCTTTTCGAAGTTTTTACCCTTGCCGGCTCTCAAAACTGAAAAAAAAGCGACGTGGATGCCAAAGAGGAGCCTATATAATTGTATGATAACGTGTATGAATAATGAAGCTACTGCATGACTGTATATTTGACCCATTCAAACAAACTAAGAGGACACTTTGGTGCTTTGCCAGGCTTACCATTAGCTCAGTTTCGGGTTGCTTTCGACGCTTCAGTGGAAAATTCCTGAAACAAACGGAACGTCTGAAAAGGCATTCGCCTGTTTTCCTGGTTGGAAACGTCCAGGCTGAAATTCGGATTTCATGTCTTCAAACCTTTTTTGAGTGTTAGTTTCAGGCTTTCGCGGCCGTTTTTCATTAAACGAAACTGACTTAGGCAAATGGGAAACGCGACTACCGAACGGAATCAAAATTTATCGGTCCTGAATCAGTTCTCCTCACCATTTGCCCAAACGGACCGGTTCACCCGTGTAAATAGTAGAAAAGCCTTGTGTCCAAAGGCCTGCGATACAGCTTCCTCCCATCGCTATCTGCCGCTAGGGACATTTCGTCAAAGAGCAGTGAGAGGCGGGTGTATCGCAGACTATGCGTCATACTTCTCAAGGGAGGAATTACGCGCTCCAGTACAAACACTCGCATTATCCTCAGAAAAACAAGCTGGAGTTTGGAATTCATTGCTTTTAGAGCAATCGAAATTCTCCATAATTGATGTGGCTACAGTTTAAGCTACAATCCGCTTGAGATTTGGATCTGTGAATCACTATCTGTGAGAATTAATCATCCTGCTAAAAACGCTAACGGGCTGGGCCCAGCATGACAAAACATTGCAGGAAAAAGTGAGATTACGAGATTCATGGACGAAAAGAAAATGGCTTAGAATTATTCACATCCAGGGGGCACTTAATCAGCCGCAATGAAGTGCTTTACATTTCAAAAGAGGTAGAAAATCATTACACATGTCACGACCTCTCAGTATGAAATTCACATCTGCTCAGTCAAAACGTTTTTCTCCAAAGCATAATCAACCCGTCAGCGAAAACAATTTATTGGAACAAGCAGCATTTTGGTATTAGGTAAAAGTCGTGTCTTGCCTAACCCCCCTTCTTCACGGGCAGCATAAAGCACAATTAATTATTACTGATCAGTTGAGCATTGTTTGTTGTTGTTGTTGTTGTTGTTGTTGTTATTTTTAATCTTATTTTTACACTATTTCTGTTTTTGTCAATTTCTCATTATTTAAAAAAAAAGTGTCCATGGACACGTCCATGACACGGGGTCCATGGACCTGGTCCAAAGTAGGGTTCCATGGACCCCTGGTCCATGTTTTGTCCTCACCCAGCAATCACAATATTATATAGATGGAGAATGTTGCAAGACTCAGTTCGTAAGGCCAGGGAGTCGCATTTCATAGATAAGGCCATGACCCTTCAACCTCATGGCTAGGCCTTTCTCGATTGCGCTTAAAAGTGCTCAAAATAATGCTCAAAAAGTGCTAAAAGTTGTGAACAGTTACCTCTAAGCTTTTCGTAAATATGTCAATTTTTACTGAAGTAATTAACAATCTATTTTGCGTAGTGTTTTCGACAGGTTGTTACGAAAGGTTGATAGAATATAGAACAATAATATTTTTAAAAAACTAAAGCCGGTTACGAATTGTAAATTAATTCAGCAGTACTAGCATCAGATGATTTAGAAATTTGAGATGACACACCCATGATACATCAGCGAATCAGAAACTTCTGTTCTCACGCTCAGTGAGGATAAGTCCACGTGCCTTTCCATGACAACGGTGTTTTATTCTAGACAACATCATTGGTTATTCAAATTTATGACCTGGAACACGATTCTCGTTGCAAGCGACACACAGTTTTTGCTTTAAAATGATTTAGAAGACATATGTTGCTCGAAATTTGCTCGAAATGTGAAATATTGCTCAAATGTTGCCCAAAGTGTCAAAAAGGGCGTAAGGGTGCTCAAAATGCAAAATAGTGCTCCAAACTCAAAAAAGTGCTCAAAAGGTGCTCAGCGCAATCGGGAAAGGCCTACTCATGGCCTAAACCGCCGTGACGAATTATTAGAATCCATCTCCTCAGTATTTTTCCTTTCCAGTTTTTGTGTTGTACGTCATTTCCGCCTCTCCCTTTTAAACAATTTTTACTTTTTATTTTAATTTTTTTATTTTGGTTTTCATATGACGTCACTAAACTTCAAACTACAAAACTATCGATCCTACTGAGATTTTACTTTCATGGTGTATTAGAGCAGCTGAAAACTAGTTTTTCAAACAAATTTTCGCTACAAAAGGGTTCTTGGTTTTGTAATAGAGTACGTTTGAATTTCTAAGCTTTTGCGTGACGCAGCATTTAAATGACGGCCGAGAGAGCTGTCATTTAGGTTAAAAAAGTGACTTTTTTCGAGGAATTTTGCTATCTAAACAGTTCAAGTGTTAGAAAAAGTATTACTTTAATGTTTATCAGTTCCTCAAGGAGTAAATTCACGCTTTTCTAGCAAAACTCGTTAACAGATGTTTCTGTTGGTTTCCGTCCGCCATGTTCGAGCTCATCCGTATGAGCTCCAGCATGGCGTCTCCATACAAAGCTCTATAAATTTGGGTAAAACATTTCCTCGGATATCTCGTATACGAATCATTCCTTCGACCCAAGTCTTGGCGAGGGTCTTTGTATATTTACCTCCTTTCATTTCCCAGATTCTCGACTTTATCTGTCGAATGGTTGCAATAGTCTTTGTGAAGTATATACCATACCAGTCTTTGGACTTCTCGTTCTTGGTTCTTTGGAATAAGGCGCGGTAGCAAAGCAAAAACAGTACATTACTTCCGTGTTTGGTGTAGCAATGGCTTCGCCGTGTGTAGTGAAGGATTCAGGGGGCGAGTACTTTTGTATTCTCGAGGAAGCTTGTGAAGAATACCTCAACAGACTCTGGCCTGACTGGAAGACAAGTGATCGAACATACATGTTCCCTCCAGCTTTCTCATTCCGTTATATAGCCCCAACCGGTGCAGCATCCGGTGCTGTAGGACTTAAGAAGTCTGAGGAATCTGACATGAAGGGAGATTCAGCCGAGTTACGGATATTTAGGACCCTTGATAAATATGGGACAGAAACGAATCAGCCAATGTTCGTCATAACGAAATTTGAATTTCAAGAATTCATTGATCAAGTCCTCCTACAAAACCTCTCAAGCGAATATGTTCAATCTCTGTTTGCCGATCTCAGCGAAACGCGGGATCTTTCTCGAGAAATAGATTTTCTCATCGTACACCGGCGTATTGGTGTCATACTCATCGAAGTGAAAGCCACAGAAAAGTTCAAAACAAATCGGTATCTTGATGCGAAAAGACAGCTTGAAGTTGGAGAAAAATTTGTTAAAGCACTTTTGACAGCAAAGGACTTAGACATTCCTGTCAAAAGAGTCATTGCAATGCCAAACGTCGTCGATGAGGGACGTAATGCTAATAATTTTATTGACCTCCGAAAGATTCATCTTGGTAATATGCAACGTTTCAAGATGTGGTGGGAAGAGCATTTCACTGAGGGGTCTTTTGAGGAAGAAATAAAGAAGCTATTGAGCTTGATTTCCGTATTTGTAGGTCAGAGAAGTTCAATAAGCGCCACAACCCAGATACTCAGTGGAGTGTTTAAAACAATTGATGAGCAAAACTTTCTTGCACAAAGCCACGCGAAGATGACAAGAAAGGGAGCTAGTGGGTCTCCTGTGGTGGTAAGGCCAGCTGATCACACAGGTCTGAGAATTCTGGCAAAACAGTTCATGTTCTTAAACATGGAGCAACTGGGCATATGGGAAGGACCATTACACCAGCTCTTTTGTGGCGCCCCAGGAAGTGGAAAGACGATTCTACTCCAATACAAAGCACTTGAATGTGCGAAGAAGAATGAAATGGTACTTATAATGGTACCCCCGCCACTTGATATGCTCTACAAGGAATTCTTCACAAGAAACGAAATTGCCAATGGAATGGTTACTATCGTAACGTTTGACAGCATCGAATCCTTTCTCTCTCAGGCCCTACAAAAGCCAAAGAAACCAGTCCATGTCTTTATTGATGAATTTCAGCTACTGCTTTTCACAAATGAGAAAATACTAAGTCAAATCACAACACTCTTGACTCGTTATCAGGGTACCTCNAACATATAATTAAAACCGCTTCCTCGTGCATGTCCCGCCTTGGCCAGATAAACCGTGTCAAGCATGTCTTCGACAAACGTACACTTTTGATGATTATTAATTCCTTAGTTTTTAGCAGGTTATTTTATTGCTCCAATGTTTGGTCAAATACCTCAAAATGTAATGTCAACAAGTTACAGGCAGTGCAGAACTTCGCATGCCGCATTGTTAGCGGCGCGCGTAAATTTGACCATGTTACACCAATTCGCAAGGAGCTAAATTGGCTTTCAGTTCCCAGTCAGCTTTATTACCGGAACGCTACAATGGCTTTTAAATGTATGACCGGTCAAGCCCCTGAATACCTTACATCAAAATTCATAAAGCGAGCAGAGGTTAGCCGACGTAGCACCAGAAATTCACAGCTTTTACAAATTCCCTTTTTTAGAACAGCTGCCGGTCAGAGAACATTTTTCTATAGAACTGTGAACTTATGGAACTCCCTAGACAATTCCTTTAAACTGTGTAACTCGATTGATGTTTTTAAAACTCGTTTACGTACTAAATTACTTAAAGAATTGTAATTTTATATATATTTTAAAACATTTCTTAATTGTAAATAGGATCATGTATTGTCTTTGAAAAGCCCCTTGGGAAAGTCAATAAAGTATGTATGTATGTATGTATGTTGGTTTCGTACATATCCTGGACCTCCTTCCCCTAGAGGAGCAACTGCATTTTGGAAACAATACTGGCGTCATCCAGTCTATCTTGGCCACCATGTTTGTGGACCCCAAGTCATTGTAGAGGGGGGAAAAAGTTATGCATCACGTGAAGAACGATTTGTCGAGTGTTCTAAGATCATCAAGAATGAGATCAATAAATGGGCAAAGGAACAGGATGGAGTTTTTTCCTATTGGAAAGTTGCTGTCCTGGTCACTAATCCATGGTGGATTAACAATCTCTGTTCCTGTATAACTCAGGAAAGAATCCCAGTTTGTCGCATTGGAGGTGAGGAAAATGCAGTTGTTTTGGATGATGCAGATTATGCTAGATCATATGAGTGGCCAGTAGTTATTGTTATTTGTGACAAGTTGAGAAGACGGCTGAACTACATCCCAGCATCAAGGGCAGTGTGTCGCTTATTAGTTCTTTATTCAGAGAAGTAATAGTATCTTTTGGCAAACTTGGAACCTTCAACATTAGGATATTACATTTTCTCTTTTACTCTTTACTGCACTGAAAAACTCTGAATATTGTATAAACAGTTTCTCTATATTTCCCCTAATGATACAATTAAGACAACATATTAGCTGTGGTCACACTACAGACTTTTTATCTAGGTAAACACAACTTGTTGACAGTTTACCTAGGGAAACTTGATTTTTTAAGTGTGACCGATTTTTCCCTAGGTAACCTACCTCAGGGAAATTTTATCGTCTGGGTCTTGGATATGTCTCGAAAACAATAGAGTTTACCTTTAGAGCTACCCCAAAGCAATAGCTACGGAAAAATGAAATACCGAGGTTGCCAGCCAATAGACGCTCATCGGTGAAGGTCTTGATGACAGAACCGGACATAGATCACGCCATGAAAGAAATTTTGGGGGCACGAGTCGTCTGTCTACGTCTTCTCCTTTCTTCACCTTGCATGTTGAATTAGCGTAAGAAATAACAGCGAGATAAAAAAAAAAGTCTCTTTGATCAGCTAGATCCTTGCGCATTTTGCCTTCTTGAATTTACACTCCAAAAAATTCAACTGGCGTGAAAACTTTGGGAGCCGATATCAGTACTGTGACCTTCCCAGAATTTTACCTAGGTAAAACAAAACCCGAGATGAATTTATTTTGGGAGATTTTTGATGAATTTGCCCTAGGTAAATCAGTTTTACGTAGGTAAAAGTCTGTAGTGTGACCACAGCTATTATTTTTTTCCAAGCTTGCCAGCAGGCGGAATATCCTCTAAATCCTGCAATCTGATTAGTTCCTTAGCCCAGGCAGTATTTTACGATCTTGCCTGCTAACCTGGGTGGAATCGTTGGCAGCTTCATTTGCAAGTTTGTTTGTTGTTTGTGAATGAGCAAAAGCCATCATTTTCAAACCATTTTTCTTTTAAAACTTGCACTATTATTAGCATTAGCCAGAGAATAGTGAATTTTATTATGCAGACAAAAAATCTGAAGGAAGAATCAAGCAAGTCAGCCAGGAAAACTGCTAAAGTAAGGCAAAACAGGTGGCTCGTGATGTTGCTTCACTAGCTTAATAACTGCGCTGTAAGTACTGCAATCTTGCTTTTATGCACCGTTTATTGGACATTTTTGCTCTGTTTGTAGTGTTCCATTTTTGCTGTATGAATCTAGATTCTGCCATTTTTCATTGAATTTTGCCTTGCTAGTTTTCTACTTATCAAAAAAGGTTGTTGTTTAAGGTGATTCCCTGGTTTTGCACTGCGGATCTCTTTCTGCGCATAACAAGATGGCCTCCGTAAAAAAGAGCATGTGAAGTAACATTATTAAAATGAAGTTGACCGAAGAGAAACGCTACTGCAATTTTCGCTTGCGGTTGTTTCTCGCCGAGGTGAGACTCAATGTGGTGGGAATGTGCATAACGTAAGCAGGACGCGTGTTGCTGAGTTCGACTTCCTCACGGAGAACCTCGATAGTGGTAATGTTTCATTTGTGCTTATTCACTTTGATTTTCATTTAAACGCTTTCTTTATCACATTGTGTCCTAAATGTGACATCTCGATGTAAATTCTGTAAAAACGGATTTTTTTGATACTTTCTTCCCCCTTTCGCATACATTCTATTTTGAAACTCGCCCCAGTCCTCTCTCAAAAATCAAGGAAAATGCATTTGGTGCGCACTTTCTGCAGCTCTACCGCAAAAACGAGTACGGTGACCCCCATTTTTTATTTCATGTTTTTAATGAGGACAGTGCTTCCTTTCGGTGAGAAAAAAGGTGGCACAAATCTATGTTCAGTTTTCTGGCAATGTTACTAAATTGTACGGATTGAGCTATCACGTGTCGAATAGCGCGTGTCCAATTTAATTCTACTTTGGAGCGTAAAGTAAAAACAAGGGCATTAAAAGGCATTTTTCTGGTACGTAAGTGGATAAAAAATACATTAAAGTCAAATTCTGTGCGATACCACATGCATCATTAAAAGAATCTTTCCTTTTTGTGTAGTTTTGGGCTGTGCACGGTTTTTGTTAAAGGGTCCAAAATAGCCGTATTTGTCAGCATTGTGAGAGCATGGTGACCCCCACTTTTTATTATCTTTTTATCATTTTCTTGACTTGTTACATCAGTGTACCAAGTTTCATCTACAATCTATGTTAGGTTCTTTTACTAGGGAATCACCTTAAGTGATTGCATTCAGCTTTCAATAAAGGAACCGACAAAGTGACATTTTAAGACTTTTGAGAATTAGCGAATATCAAACCGGTGGTATAAAAATGATCGATCTGGTATGATGAAATCTTTACGCCTAGCCTGGCTGAAAAGGATCTCCCAATGCAACAATGGTGCTTGGAGAAGCTTTTTACGGTTTTCGTTGGAACCTTTTGGGGGCCTCTTTTTTATTTCATTGTAATTATGATATTACAGAGATACATATTTCCCGTAAATTCTATTCCGAGTTACTTCAATGGTAGTCTGAGTTTTCTATTGTTTTCCATATATAGTAGAAGGGAGTCTAAATGTCAATATATTTTGTGGACATTGATGATAGGCCTGTTTTCTATAAAAAAAAAAAAAAAAAACTTTTTGAACAAGATATCATTTTCGTAAATGATCTTTTGTTTGAATTAGACACGACAAATTCTTTTACTATTGTTTTGAATAAATTTAGCAATATTAACTACCTAATTTGGGCAGGGCTTTGTCACTCTGTTCCAAAACATAATTTTAAAGAAAAGGTCTTTGCTCAGAAATAAGCTTAATATTGACAATCGATAACAAAGAATTTGATATATTAAAAAAGAAATCTAAAGATTACTACGTGCTTATATTAAAAGAATAATTGCCCTGCAGTGTTCAAAAATTTTCCGACACTTGTGTCAAGATTTCAATCTAACCCAAGACCAGCTGAAAAAAGTATATTCCATCTTCCACATGATGTTATCTAAAAGCTTTTCAATACAAAGTCCTTAATTCAATTTTATTTACCAATAAATAAAGTTATGCAAAATAGGTTATATCCAAGATGATAGATGCTGACTATGCAAAATGGATTTGGAATCCCTTTACCACATGTTTTTCAAATGCAGACACACCAAGCAGTTTTGAAAGGAATTTCAATATTACTTTTATGCATTGGCAAGATAATTCGTCTGTCTGACCTTACAATTAAGAGGTAATTACAGGAATATACAAATTGCCCTTTACTGAATTAATTGATACTGATTGCTAAACTGTATTTATGGGGTTGTAGAAGAAATCAGACTCTTCCAGTCATAACTGCCTTTTCATCCAAGGTTAAATTAAGTATGCTGAAACAGAAAAGTTATATATACAGCCAACTCTCTCTAAGACGGACACCTTTGGGACCGGCACTAAATGTCCGTCTTAGAGAGGTGTCCATCTTATAGAGAGTCAAACAAAGGGAGTAAAGAAAGGCAGGGACCAACTCTAGGTGTCCGTTTTACAGGTGTCCATCTTATAGAGGTGTCGGTTAAGAGAGAGTCGACTGTATGTGTTAAAACTAATAAATGACAAGTTTAATAAGAAGTGGGCTCTGCACCCTAGTGACGTGTGTACTTAGAACGTATTTTTCATTTTTGGTATATATAGTTACTTTACCATTAAAGTTCATAGTGTAATGTAATGTACTTGAAATTTATTGTAATGTAATATCATGCAATGCCATGTAATGTTAGTATTGTAACTCTGTGGAGTATTTGATAAAAGTTTGAAAAAAAAAATTTAGCTTTCAATCTCAAATAATCAGTATGAATCACTTTTCCAGCAGTCGGTTATCACAGTTTTCATTTCCTTGTTTATAACTTGTTACTTATGTCACCTTCCTTTATTCAAATTCAATTCAAAACCTTAACATTGGTATGTGTAATAAGCTCTTTTAACAAAGCCTTTGTGCAGTTTTCATCCCGCTCGATTGCATTAATCTAAAAGCAATTTTTGAATTATTCAGCTGAAGAAAATCGTTGCTGTATTTTTTTCCTGGGGCTTTTAATATCAAGCTCGTCAATTCGTTTATCCTTGTTTAGCAGTTAGCATGGGAATGGCTAAAAAAGGGATATCCAACACTAAACATAATTTTCTGCTAACTGGATGTAATTATCTATTTTGATATTTTTTCTTGCTCTCTTTTTTTCTATGCCTTTTTTTTAGGCAGTTTTGTTGCCCAATTTATCATCTTTCTTTTGCATGGGAATTTGGCCGGAAGTTGTCTTTTTTCATTTTTGGAAGGTGGTTTTGCCCAAATGTTTGGACAAATCGTCTCTAGTAAAGACACTAAAAAATACAAAATGAAAAAGATTTCACTTCCCGTTAACGTGTGTCGCTCAAAAACGCCTTCAGCTTTGTTTTCTGGGCCCTATTCCTTGGGGTCCACGGCCTTTGGAATAAGGCGCGGTAGCAAAGCAAACACGTTACTTCCGTGTTTGGTGCAGCAATGGCTTCGCCGTGTGTAGTGAAGGACTCAGCGGGAAAGTACCTTTGTAATAGGCCACTTGCACTAAGAGGTCACGTGACCAATGCTTCCTTTAAACAATAAGTTGGAATCTTGCTGATGCCGAAAATTGTTAGAGCACACAAAAATTATCTCACAACTGAAATTTGAGAGGAAACGCATTTAAGGGAGATATATTATGGCAGTTTGATTTTTCAGGAAAGTAGTATGATTTGTATTGGCCGCCATGTTGGAGGGCATGCTTTTGCCCTCCAACATGGCGGCCAAAACCACTTCTTGCTTATATCTTGTTCAATGTTTCTTAGTTACGCTCAGATGTGCTGTAAACGTTATCACATCATCTTTTCAACATTTTCCTTGAAGTTTAAGTGCAAAATTTGTGTACAGAGAGAGGTAATTCATAATTTTAAAAATCACATTTTGGTCACGTGACCATTTACGAACTTATTCATTTAAAGAAAATGGTGCGGGTTTGAAAAACCAAATCACCATTATTTTGGGTAAGATATGACCCACTAATTGTTTTTCGAAGGCAAAATCATATAACTTTCATTTTCATAAAAGCGATGTCACATGCCTCTTAGTGCAAATGGCCTATTTCGAGGAAGCTTGTGAAGAATACCTCAACAGACTCTGGCCTGACTTGAAGACAAGTGATCGAAGATACATGTTCCCTCCAGCGTTCCCATTTGGTTATACAGCCCCAACTGGTGCAGCATCCGGTGCTGTAGGACTTAGGAAGTCTGAGGAATTAGACATCAAGGGAGATTCAGCCGAGTTACGGATATTTAGGGCCCTTGATAAATATGGGACAGAAACGAATCAGCCAATGCTTGTCATAACGAAATTTGAATTTCAAGAATTCATCGATCAAGTCCTCCTACAAAACCTCCCAAGCGAATATGTTCAATCTCTGTTTGCCGATCTCAGCAAAACAGATCTCTCTTGTGAAATAGATTTTCTCATCGTACACCGGCGTATTGGTGTCATACTCATCGTAGTGAAAGCCACAGAAAAATTCAAAACAAATCGGTATCTTGATGGGAAAAGACAGCTTGAAGTTGGAGAAAAATTTGTTAAAGCACTTTTGACAGCAAAGGACTTAGACATTCCTGTCAAAAGAGTCATTGCAATGCCAAATGTCATCGATGAGGGACGTGGTACTAGTGATTTTATTGACCTCCCAAAGATTCATCTTGGTTTGACAGAGGACGACGAAGATGACAATTTACAACATTTCGAGATGTGGTGGAAACAGCATTTCACTGAGAGGTCTTTTGAGGAAGAAATAGAGAAGCTATTGAGCTTGATTTCCGTATTTGTAGGTCAGAGAAGTGCAATAAGCGCCACAACCCAGATACTTAGTGGAGTGTTTAAAACCATTGATGAGCAAAGCTTTCTTGAACAAAGCCACGCGAAGATGACGAGAAAGGGAGCTAAAGGGTCTCCTGTGGTGGTAAGGCCAGCTGATGCCACAGGTTTGAGAATTCTGGCAAAACAGTTTGTGTTCTTAAACATGGAGCAACTGGGCATATGGGAAGGACCATTACACCAGCTCTTTTGTGGCGCCCCAGGAAGTGGAAAGACGATTCTACTCCAATACAAAGCACTTGAATGTGCGAAGAAGAATGAAATGGTACTTATAATGGTACCCCCGCCTCTTGATAAGCTCTACAAGGAATTCTTCACAAGAAACGAAATTGCCAATGGAATGGTTACCATCGTAACGTTTGACCACATCAGTACTTTTCTCTCTCGGGCCTTAGAAATGTCAGTGAAACCCGTCCATGTCTTTGTTGATGAATTTCAGATACTGCTTCTCACAAATGAAACATTACTAGGCGCAATCAGAGAATTCTTGGTTCGTTATCAGAGTACCTCATTCTATCAGTGGATTTCCTACGACTTCAATCAGTTGCTGTTTGTTAATGAGGTGTTTGGACTGAAACGAACTAACGTGAATGTTCCAAGCTTTCTCACCGAGCTATGTGAAAGCCAAAACTTTATCCATGCACCAAGCCTCACAACTGTCATGAGATGCACATCAGAGGTTTATGACTTTTTGCAGCGTTACCTAAAGTTTTCGTTTGGTGAACAATCTGGAGGAACTGAATTTCCTAAACAATACTGGCATCATCCAGTCTATCTTGGCCACCATGTTTGTGGACCCCAAGTCATTGTAGAGAGGAAAATAAGTTATGGATCACGTGAAGAACGATTTGTTGACTGTTCTAAGATCATCAAGAATGAGATCAATGAATGGGCAAAGGAAGAGAATGGATTTTTTTTCTATCGTAAAGTTGCTATCCTGGTCGCCGCTCCACGGTGGATTGATGATCTCTCTCCCTTTATGACCCAGGAAGGAATCCCAGTTTGTCGTATTGGAGATGGGGAAAATGCAGTTGTTTTGGATTATGCAGATTATGCTAGATCATATGAATGGCCAGTTGTTATTGCAATTTGTGGCCATTTGAAAAGCATGCAGAACTACATCCCAGCGTCAAGGGCAGTGACTCGCTTATTAGTTCTTTGGTGGAAATAATGGTATCTTTTGCCAAACTTGGAACTTTCAAAATTAGGATATTACATTTCCTCTTTTACTCTTTACTATGCTGAAAAAAATCTGAATATTGTATGAACAGTTTCTCTATATTTTCCCTAATGATACAAGACAACATAATCATTATTTTAGGTCCCGTCATCCATGCTGTATTTCATTATGAATTCAAAATCTCTATAACTAACTCTTCCATCTCGATCTGTATCAGCTTCTCGAAACAACTTCTCCACTGTAACTGAGTCCAAAAATGGAGCAACTTGTAGAAAAATCTTTTTAGCAATGTCCAGAGTGATGAAACCTTGACATTTGGTGTCAAATGCAATAAACATCTGCCGGATCTCATCATCAGTATCTTCAGCCAAAATCTTGATTTTTGCAATTTCTGTGAAATTTTCTAAGGTCATACCAGTTTGGGTGTTAACGAACGTTTTGCTGCAGCCTGGTATTTGATCATTAACTGATAATAACAGTTTCTGAAACTTGGCCATAAGCTGCTGAACTTCACTCTTTGAAGGCTTGTAACCAAAGAGGGACACAAATGCAACTTTAAGATCCTCACTTGTTAAGAAACCTTTCTTTTCTTCATCTGCATTATGGAATGTTTCTGCTATTTGGCACAACTTTTCTTCTGTGATTTGCCAAGAGGAGTTTGAATATGACAGCTGATGCATGTAACTTTGCATAGGTACTTTACTAGGAAAGACCTTAAATGACAACAAAAAAGAAAGAAAAGGCTGAAAATAAGTTACTTTGGGTTGGAAATGTTATAATCACCTCAATTTTAGTTCATTCAGGTATAAAACATGGTTAGGCTTCATGGGCTACTGAGCTTATAACTTGGTAACTTACTGCTGAGGCTGTTGCAAAGTCAAAGAAGCTGGGCTTCACCTATGATAGGATATGCTCTGGGTTTGCGCCTTGAAGAGAGGTGGTGTAACTTAACACTACAAAAACCTAAAATGTCAGATAATTGCACAATAAACAATAACTTTTGATGTTATGAGTAGAACAGTTTGATATTGTGGCATTGCTATGTTGGAGATCAAATTATTTGAAAAAAAAGTCCAGACCATAATCCACCAATTGTGCAAAGAATACATATCTATTGTCCACATTGAGAGGTATTTTATACCAAAATTTTGCAGCAAAATACTTGCTGTCCCTTTTGTTGTGTAGTTCCAAAAAATATCCATACCCCCCACGGAGGGCACTTTTATTTTAGACCTCCCACCCCCCTGGAATTTTCATTCCAGGGGGTGCTTCTCATACCCTCCCAACCTCTGGAATTTCCATAATTTTGTAACTTGGTTGGGTATCCCCTGGAAAGAATATTTCCCTCAAAAATGCTGTTGCATCATACTTTTATGCAAAAGATAATATTATTGTTTCTGCAATAAAGGGAGAAAAAACTTTATATATGTTAATACAGTGTCAAATAATCTCGGTTTCTTGCCTGGTAGAGGTCTTTCTTAGTTAATTATTAACACTACACAAGACACAAGTGATGCCATCTCTCAAAGCTGTGAACTTCAATTACTTCCTTTCAGTTAAAAACATGTTAGAAGAAGGCTTCTCAGAACATGACCACATTACAGTGAATACCACTGACAATATATAAACAAAGCAACAGATGGATAGACTGGATAGATATCCAAGTTTATTAATGAGCCAATGACAATCGTGTGACATAAACTATCGTTGAAGCCATGAAAAAAGCAGTCAGCCGACTGAACATAAAAGACCATTGATGAAAACAATAATGTTTGCTTTGAAACACTGATTAACAGTAAAATAACTGATAGTTTGCTCAACAGAACAGCTGTTAGTTTTTTAATAACTCACCAATCTTACTTGCCCCCCCCCCTTAATAAAGGCCTCAAGAGGCCTCCCCCCACCCCCTCAGAAATTGCCTCCTTTTGGACCCCCCCTTGGCTCTGAATTTCTGTTGCCCTTCGTTGGGGGGGGGGGGGGGGGGG